ACTTCATCATCTCTTTCCCTTACTCACCTTTATTTTCCTCTCTAGCACTAAGCAATTATTTGTTACGCATCTTGGCATATGTGACTTAAAAAAAAAAGATTTCATTTATTTATTTTTAGATGGGGAATGGAGGGAGAAAGAGAGGGAGAGAAACATCAATGTGTGGTTGCCTCTCATGCACCCCCTGCTGGGGACCTGGCCCACAACTCATGCATGTACCCTAATTAGGAATCGAACCATCAACCCTTTGGTTCATGGGCTGGCACTCAATCCACTGAGCCATACCAGCCAGGGGGTGACTTTTTTTTAATTATTGAGGCATAGTTGTCATATAACATTAGTTTCAAGTGCATAACATGATTCAATATTTGTATCAGATTTTAAGATGATTACTAAAATAAGCTGAATATCCATCACCACACAGTTACAAATAATTCTTTTTTCTTATGATGAGAACTTTTAAGATCTACTCTCTTAGCAAAACTATAGTCACCATGCTGCACATTACATCTCTAAAGTCTTATTTCTTTTATAACTGGAAATTTGTACCTTTTGACCCCCTTCACCCATTTCTCCCACTCCTAGCAACTGCCAATCTATTCTCTGTATCTATGAGCTTGTTTTTTTTTTCTAATTTCACATAAAAGTGGGCTTCTATGGTATTTGTCTTTCTCTGACATTTCACTTAGGATAACGCCTTTTAGGACCATCCATTTTGTTGGAAATAGGCTGAATAATAGTCATTGCACATACATATTACATTTTCTTTATCCAATCATCCATTGATGGACACCTATGTTGTTTCCACATCTAGTTTATTTAAATAATGCTGTCTTTGGATCCACTCCTGAATCCTCAGCCTCTGTCATAGTACCTGGTAAACAGTAGATGCTCAAAAGGTATCTGTTCAATGGTTTCACCAGTAAAACTAAGTTTTTTAAGAACCAAGTATTCCAAAAAGATGTGAAAGAGTCCTGTAACTTTAATCAGCCTCTACCAGGGGTGTCCAACCTGTGGTGTGTGGGCCACATGAAGCACAGGATGGCTGTGAATATGGCCCAACACAAAATCATAAATTTACTTAAAATATGAGTTTTTTTGTGATTACGTGTTGCAATGTATTTAATATATGGCCCAAGACAACTCTTCTTCCAGTGTGGTGCAGAGACACCAAAAGGCTGGACACCACTGTGAGTCTAAACTATAAGACTAGTCATTGAGGTAGTGTTATATAACATGGCATATTTGCAGTTACCAGTGAAACTCCAAAAACCACATTGTATTAATATGTTTCCAGCATAACATATTAACATATGCTAACATATGATTAGCATAAAACCAAATTTTTGTTTCTTCTCTGTTCTAAAAATACAACTCATACAACTTGGTCTAACATTTTCAAATTTAATAATTATTCTGAGTTTTTAGTGAGTTTGACAATTTATAGAAGAAATTCTAGGTATTTTTCCTCAGGCTGTTTTAGTCACACTTGTGATATTCTAGGAACACAGAATAATCCAAGATTTTATCACCACAATTACAACAGCATTGCACATATCAGGCACTAAATAAATGCTCATTAAATAAAACTAACAAATACTGAAATATGGCTTGTTATATAATTTTCAGGATTTGTATGACAAGTTACACATCCTTAACATGTAATATGTCACTCTATAACTTTTATGGTGGAAGTATCACTGCTAAACTAAAAGAAAGTATACCCAAGACATGTACAAGAAAGCATAGCCAAGATGTACAACTGATTCATACACCAACAAGTATCTTCTGTCTTGCTGTATTTATGGTCAACCTTATGTGATTATGTAGGTACTGATTTGTGATAGGTATATGTAATTAGCTTGTTAATACTTAAATAATATCATTCTAGATATCTTTTTAATCAGTTAATATTAGGGGCTTGTCTAGTACAATGAGAAGGAAAACTGTTTTCCCAATCTCCTATGTCCTCAACCTCTTCCTACCAGTGCTTTCTTAGAATTCTATTCAGTTCTTTTCAATTTCAATCAACTCTTTTTTATGTTCTAGTCTAACTACCACCTCCTCTATCCCTTGAAAGAGTAACCAAAATTTATCATCCCCGCTTCCTTATCTCCCCATCATTTCTCAATCTGTAGCAATCTGGCTACTTTCCTCAATCTCCTATTAACCTATTCTCACCAAGGTTATTCCTCCTAGTGGCTAAATCCAGTTAGTGCTTTTTAATCCTTAACTTGGTTTATGCTCTGCAGCAGCCCTGTCTAATACAGTGACCACTAGTCACACATATAGCTACCAAGCACTTCAAATATATTGAGTACAAATAATTTGGATATGTGAACCTTATAAAATCAAAATACAGACCAAGAATTTCTGATGAAAATTTAACATATAAATTAAGATGTAACATGTAGATATAAGCGTAAGTGTAACATACACACTGGATTTCAATGACTTACTATGAAAAACAGCCTATAAAATAATCTCATTAATAATTTTATATTAATTGTACGTTGAAATTAGTATTTTTGCTATATTGGGCTGAATAACATTGTTAAAATTAATTTCACCTATTTCTTTTTATGTTTCTTAAAGTGCTACTGGAAAACTTTAAATGGTCTATGTATTATTTTATTTCAGTTGAACAGTGCTGCACTATAGCATTAGATATTAGAATGACTGCCACTCCTTCCTTCTTGAAATGCTGCTGCTACTTACCTCCTCTTACTTCTTTGACACCTCCACCATTTTTAGTATGCAGTGTAGTTTATTCTTCCACTCACTCCTTAAATGTCAGTGTCTCTCAAAGTTGTCCTGAGGTCTTTTCTAGGTACTCTCCCTGGGTGATCTCACTCTCACCAAGGCTTCCACTATTCCTTTACACTGATTGATAACTACAAACGTTTCATTTGCAAATCAGCTTGCTCTCCTGAGAATGGTTTATTCAGCTGCAACTACATGTAAGCACATCTGCACTTCATCTGCCATTACCTCATTAATATAAATCTGGCCCCTCTTATCCATTTCATTTATGTCCTCACAATTTCTCATCTTTACCACTATATTAACTTCCAAAATTCTATCTTTGCTACCTTCTGAATCAATTTCCTTTCGCTGTTAAGTTTCTAAAACTCACACCTGGCCATATGACTTCTCTGTTCAAAATACTTTGGGGGTTTCCTCACTGCCTTCAAGATAAAATAAAAACTTCTTATAATCACACATAACTCTTGTTGCTTACCTGTCTCTCAGCTTTATGCTTCATCAACAGCCCCATGAAATCCCAACCTCAGGTTATGTCTAAGTACCTGTAGTCCTCTGAATGCAACAACTGCTTTCACACCATCATGCTTTCTCTGCATATGTTCTTTCTGATGACAGCAATACCACTCCTAAAACTCTATCCCTGCTCTCCCAGTCAGTCATCCTCCAAAACTCAGCTATGTCATCTCCCCCAGAAAAATGTCTGTAAACCCTAAGTCTGAGCAAGTGTCCCTTCTCTGTGTTACCATCATACCTATTTACAGCTCTACTAATAACCCAATTACACTTCTCTTGGGTGACCTGGCCAGTCTGTGAATACCCTAAAGGTAGGAATAAAGTATTTTTATGTTATTTCCCAGTGTTACATTTAGTAAGTACCTATTAATAAACAGACACTACATTATATAGGGGAAGCCCACAGAATAAAATGTAAGGCTAGAAATTTTTACATGGACTAATAGTGTCATGATTGAAATAAAGAAAGTTAACCCTCAATAATCCTAGAAAAATTTTAATTAGATGGTCTATGTCAGGATGTTTTGAGCTAGGCAATAGAAAAATATAACCTAAATAATCATTAAAACATCAAACACTCAACAGAAGCAACAATTTAAAATATTAAAGACTAAATATATTTTTCTACTTATTTACCTTGTTTTTCACACCATTTTATCCCCAATTCTACTTATTAGTTCCTTTCTTCAGCTCTTTACATTATTTTTCCTTCCAATTAAATCTGGCATTCTTTCTTTCCCTTGCCCAAACCTTTTCATTTCTACTGTCCCTGTCCCTTCCATTCCTCTTTCAACATAACTTAAAATTACAAATATTGTCTTTGCTTTATTAACAATTTTGTATTAAACAAAAGAATAGTCAAAAAAGCAGTGAATGAAATTGTATCACCAGTCAGGTGGATAGACAAAACCACACGCATTAATCTGGGTGGGTGAGTTCATAATACTAAGCAGTAATCTGAACCATATGTACACTAAGTAGAGTCTGACAGGCATCAGTGAGTCCTTGGGGTTATGGCAGCAAGACAGTGGGGAGTTAGAGAAAAGAAAAGACAACTTGCTGGTAGTGAGGGCAGCCACAGCTCAGCCTCACAACATTCTGCAACTTATGCCTGCCTTGCAAAAGGAAGCAGAAACAAGAGATTGGGAAAGCAGGAAGCTGTCAGCTATCTGTCCTGGCACAGTTGAGTAACTAATTTAACTGTGTGAGCAGCAGTAGCCAAGCAGCACCATGTGCTAATCTGAGCATACTGGCCTGTGTGCCAACTAAATACACAAAATAAAGATTACTATTCCCAGGGAACTTCTGAATTTTAGTTTTACTACAGAATAGATTCTCAGAGAGGCAGGGAAGTGCTTGGAGAAGAATTACATAATTACAATATTTATACTAGGTTGGCAGAGAGAAACAATTTTTTGAAGATTTTTTTGCTAGAGGGAAATGAGTGCATTCTTTTAATTACCTGAAAGTGAACTTTCAAAACCACTCAACATTAGGTCTTGTAGGCATGGGGAAGTTAGTTCACCTTAAAGACTGAAGTCTTACAGAATTCACAAACAAAATTGAAATCTCTTAAATAAATTTATATTCATCAAGATACTGCAACAGCACTGAGTATGTTTGAATTGTTTCTAAAACATCCTAGAACTGGACTGTCAGAGCAGCACCTTTAAAAAATCAATTTAATTCAAAGCAGTACAGGACAAGATTTACTATCTTACCCGTGCCCAGGAGTTAAGTTTCAATTCTCCAGAATTCCGTGGTTCTTTTTTAATCAGACAACATAAGCACCATATTATAATTTTTTGGCTTTCATCTACAAAAAGAAAAACTATAATGAGTAAGTTTAATCAAATAAAGTAGAAGGATAATCATACAAAAAATGTAAAATGTTATAAGTACAGGAAATACATTAATTATATTTTAGGAAAATCTCAAACTATTAAGTTCACAGAACAAGCATCCAGGACTACGTGTGAAACTTAACTTTGTGGGGTTTTTTCTTCTTGTGGGTTTGGGATCATGTCTGCCTAGCATTTGTGTAGTCAATTCTCTTTCTGTTACAGCAGCAATTTTTAAAGCCAAAAGAGAATGATGGAAAGAACTGGGCTTTTCTCAAGATCAGTTCTTTATTTCTCATTTCAAACCATTTGTCGTTTCAACCATTTTAAGGCAACAAAATTGTGATAGGCAGTACTCAATATTCTGACTTAATCTTTTAATTGTCTAATTTGCTAAAACACCGACTCGTTAAAAACAAATTCAACAAAAAGATTGTTTAATACCAAATGGTTGGATGAAAAAGAAGTCTTTTAACACACTCCTAATTCTTTACTCTAAAAGTTAAAGCTTTACTAGATACATGATAAAAATGCTGAACTTTAAAATCTTGTATTTGATGAGAATATCTATTTAGTGAGCCATTTCTTTTTTCTTGTTTGGAAACTGAGCCCATTCCAGCTGGAAATTTTGTAACAAGATTGAAAAGCAACATGAGGCCTAAAAACTGATGTTGGTTACCAGAACTAGAGCCAAACAACAATGGACTTTATCACAAGGCCATGGGGGTGAGACTGAGGAAACCAAGCACCTGGAATCAATCCTCTGCAGAACCACCTGATGCCCTTGGTGGGTGGGTAGGTGGGAGGCAGCAGAAAACTAAATTTTCCTTCCACCCTTCTAAATTCTTCTGTCTGGACTAATAATCAAGTTAACATGAGACAGATTAACAGGAGAAAATGACCAAATTTATGATGTATGTACATGTGTCGAGCTCCATAAGAATATGGGATCAGAGGAGAAATCTGGCAGCTAAGGCTCATATGTCATCTTGAGCTAAAGAGAAGGGGGTGGTTATTGTGTGGTCAGACACTTTAAATGTTATACTTATTTTTTTAAAGATTTTAGTTATTTATTTTTTTAGAGAGGGAAGGGAGGTAGGGAGGGAGGGAGGGAGGGAGAGAGAGAGAAAGAAACACCAATGTGCGGTTGCTGGGGGTCATGGCCTGCAACCCAGGCATGTACCCTGACTGGGAATCCAACCTGCGACACTTTGGTTTGCAGCCCGTGCCCAATCCACTGAGCTACGACAGTCAAGGCTGTGGTCAGACACTTTAAAGGGCAAGAAGACAATTCACATGGAGATGGAAAAAATAAATGTTTTGTAAGTAAATGTTGGCTGGACTATCTTTCACAATGGGACACAAAAAGGACTGTGATAAAATGGCCTTGCTCGGTCTCTCCCTGTCTATCACACTTAGTTCATATTAAACTATACAATCTATGATAATAGCGCCCTTCCTAGAGCAGGTTCTCAATCTAAATTCTTAAAGTACTTGGGGGGGGGGGGGGGATGGTCAAAGTTTTTACTTTTTTAAAGTCTTTTATTAATTCAACCAGTTTAAAATAGTCAATATTCCAGAAGGCATATTTTTGGCTGGCAAACTCTGCTTCCCCTCACCCTTTACCTTCTTATCTTCCGCCATCTCATAAACACAGCATTTCTAAGGGTTTCATTAACAAGAAATAAGGAAAATATAAACTACAGTAAGCTATCTCTGCATTTTCAACACACCAAAAGACTCTAATGGTAACTTTTAAATCCATTTTCCCCATAAATATCTATAAGCTTATACTCCTAATAACTAACATTTCTAAACAAATTTTATCAGAAATTATTCTAAGGGATGTTCACTTTTTCCCCTAGTTTTTATGAGCTCAAACACAGCAATGACTTGCCTGAGATCAATGTATTTCAAGAATAATAATTTAACCTCTAATGATCTTGAGGTTCTTCAAGTTGAACCAATGCCACTGATTAAAAATATGACTATTGTATGTCCTATGCTTTAAATACATTAGAAGAAATTTCAACTTCATGTCATAAGTATGACAGACACATCCAATGATAAGCTTGAGGCAGGACAGAAAGAAGTTGGGAAAAACTCCCAACAAGTACAATGAGGAACTAGGAGTGGACATCATAGGCCAATATGCTGCTAGGTAGGTCCTCTAATCAGAACCCCCACCTCCATGTATAATCAGAGAGAAAATGTTTATGGCAGGAAACTTCTGCAGTGGTTGTTGAGTTCAACAACAAGCACTGGCTAAAACCAGATCAATCCAAAAAGGAAGAAAAATTGACCAGAGACTAACCTCAAGCTTATTTTAATGAAAATAAACAGCACAAGTAGAAGGGGAGCTAGGGGGATGAATGCCATGACACTTCTGAGGCAGCAAATAGGAAGGAGGAAACTTCGGAGGTGCCCTGGGACTAAGATGAAGGACATCACTACACGACAGAGACTCTGTTTTGAGACCAGTTGTTCCCACTTTCTGGAAAAGTGCTGAGTCATGGTGAATCTTGAATGCACCTGCACAAAAGATGCTACATGACCCCTTCTTCATTATAACAGCATTAAAATAAATTAGCATTGTGTGACGCCCTTCCCTGGTGGCCAATCAAAGAAAATCATGGGAGACCACATGTGCAGTAGCTTTAAAGTAATATAACTACTTGTACAAGTGCAATAAAAGTCCACCAAAACAAGCCAGGAAATATCCTCCCTATAAGAACAGAATCCCTCCAGCCCTTGAGGTCAATCTCTGCTTGGAGTTGGGCTGCTCCCATGTTCTGTGGATAGTACACTCCACAGAACATTATTTATCACTTTAATACATTATTTATCACTTAATTTGTGATTGTTAAGTGATCATAATGATCAAGTGATCATTATTAATCACTTAATAATACACATTATTTATCACTTAATAAATCTGCTCTTTCTCTTTCTGCTATAAACTGTCTGTGTGTTTGGTTTGATTTGTCCATGATCACCAAGAACCTGGTTACCTGTGCCCACCTGTGACAGTTTTTGGTGAGTCAGCCAGGAGAAGACGGCAGAGTAGTAAGCCCCTCTTGCTGCCCTAGCACCCAGGGATGCCCCTTTTTCCATTGCCATCTATTCCATTTTGGTGAGCCTGATTTTCCCTGATGGAAGGTCTGCCGCTAAATTGCAGTGACAGGTTAGGCAGTTAAAAGCCACAAGGGCACCCACCACTTGAAGACACCCGTGATAGGATAACCTGGGTGCAGAACGGGGTTAGCCTTAGCCTCCACCAGGTGGAAAAAAATGTCCGAACACCAGTCAGGCACACTGTGAAAACCATTAAGACACTGTCTCACCCCACAGCTGCTCCCTCAATAGGCAAGTTTGACCTTCCAAATGGGATATCAGTCACCGCTTTGCCTGTACTATGACCTCCTTTTGCAGTTTCCTCATCAGGCCCACAGATAGTCTTTTAGGTTTGTCCTCCCTGGCTGACTTTTGGCCTTCATACCTGCACTCGTACCCCACTTGCCTTTTGTGTAGGAAGGGTTCCTGCTGTCTTTGTACCCAGAATATCTATTTCAGGGTCATTAATAGACCCATTGCTAAATACAGTTGCAGGAATGAACCACTCCCACCTTTGCATATATATACTATCACTGTAGCCACAACACTGGCCAGAGCCACTTACCAGGTGCCTACCGGTCATTTGTTACCAGAATGGCCACGTGGAGTCACTCTTACCCAATTAGTTGAATTTTAAATTCTAAGATGGCTTACTTGCCTCAACAGGGGTATTTTAATTTTCCTTCTTGGTCTGTCATCCCACTATGAGATCCACCTCCAGTATGAAGGTGGGGGGCCTTCATATACCTCTTGAGATCCTTTCTGGGGAAATTTCAGATTCAGGTACAATTTCTTAAAGCTCTAGAAAAATTAGACAGAAAACCCGAGTGTCCTGTTTGTGATATGGAAAAGAGTCATTTTATATATAAAAAGGTCATCTTGGTGCCTCTTTTGGTGGTTTACAGGGCCAGAAACTATTTTGCTAGTAAGACACTTCTTTTGCCCCAGATCTGAAGGCTTGCTTACAGAAAGATGAGGGTCTTCCCAGATGGAGAATACAGGAATGGAAATGTACTCAGGCTACCTGGGTAAAGCAATGGGTCTAGGGTTGTTAGGATTACAGGCAATTGCTCAAGGATGCTGGAGTGGTTCCTTCCCAACAGTTCTTTGCTGCCTGGACACTCAGTAGGACCATGAATTACATAAAGAGTATCCAGGGAACTCAAAACCTCCGAATCAAACATAGAAAAAGAAACAAAACTAGACTGTGGCGATCCTCTCAAGTCTTAGATTTCTGTCGGCTGACACTCACCAGGATTTCTTTTGCCAGAGATGTCTGGTAGATCAGTGGTATTCCAGAGGATGACCTATGGCCCACTAGGAAAGCTCCTGAGGCAAGCAAAGAGGGATGCCTCTAGATTGCAAAGGAGTATCTTTATGTTTTTTTTCTTCTCTTTAGGATCACCAAAGTCGAGATGGGAACCACACCTTTCATCCCTTCCAAATCACCCCTGGGTTGCATTCTTAGGTATTGGGATAAATTTGACCCTAAAAATTTAAAAAGTAAGAGTTTAGTTTTATTTTATAACATTGTTTGGCTCCAGTATAAATTAAGAGATGGAGAGATATGGCCTGAGAATAGGAGCAGGAATTATAACACTATACTATGGTTAGATATATTCTCTATTCTGCTGGAGGGAAAGCAAATGGTCTGAAATTCCTTACATGCAGGCATTTATGGCTCTGTACCAAAACCCCTCATTTTGCTCCAGCCCACCCTAACAGAACCTACAGGTCCAAGTGCTGATTAATAAGTCCAGGAGCTGGTTCTTTGAAAAAAATAAGCAAAATTGACAAGACTTTAACCACAGTCATCAAGAAAAAAGATGACTCAAATAAATAAAATCAGAAATGAAAGAGA